CATCACTAAATGAACAAATCTGAGAAAGGTCTACATGCAGTATTTCTATATATGTAATATCAAAGCAATCAGACTTGCTGTTTTTAACAAGAAGTCGAAAATATCACTTTTTACCAAAAATGACAAAAATATTTACCAAAATTAGAGAATTGAAGATATCATCACAAAATGAACAAATCTGAGAGAGGTCCACATGTAGTACACCTATATATGTAATATCAAAGCAATCGGACTTGCGGTTTTTAACAAGAAGTCGAAAATATCACTTTTTACCAAAAATGACAAAAATATTCACCAAAATTAGAGAATTAAAGATATCATTACAAAATGAACAAATCTGAGAGAGGTCCACATGTAGTACCTATATCTGTAATATCAAAGCAATTGCACTTGCGGTTTTTAACAAGAAGTCGAAAATATCACTTTTTACCAAAAATGACAAAAATATTCACCAAAATTAGAGAATTGAAGATATCAACATGAAATGAACAAACCTAAGAGAGGTCTACCCAAGGTACATATACACCAAGTATCAAAGCATTCAGGCTTGTAGTTTTCAAGAAGAAGTCGAAAAAGTAAAACATTGACACAGACGACGACGACGGACAATCACTCATATGATAAGCTCCGCTCGACAAAGTCGACAGCGGAGCTAATAAATAGAAAATACTCTCAGTTTAGCAAACACCGTTGATATATATGCAACGCCATGATTGAATCCTTTGAACACTAAAGTCAACTTATATCACCTTCCACAAAATCAATTTTTCCCATTTTTTTTCTAAATAGTTGATCAAATACTAAAGCAAATGTGAAAGAATGCACATTTAGATCGAAAAGAAACCTACATACATGAATATATATATATATATATACAAAATGTTGCATCAATATTTTGGCCAAAAAAGATTAAATCAGGTAATTACAATTTGACAGGTGACTACTGGTATGCTTATCTCTATATATTTTCCACACATCACAAATTTGACACTTAAAAGTAGTTGATTATTATAATGTAAAATACTTTACTGTAGAATACTTTATTTTGGCTTGGAATTTATTTTCGCTATTTTCGATGAAGGGATGATTTCGTGAAAATAAATTTTTTCCTATATTTTACATTAATCTCGTCAAAAATCAGTGAAAATAAATTCCAAGCCAAACGCCCAAAATACCTTTTCAGCGAAAATTAATTCCAGCGAAAATAAAGTATTCTACAGTATTTTCGCTGTTTTCACTGAATGGATGTGATTCAACTTCATCAAAAATCAGTGTAAAAATAAATTCCATTTACCCAAAAAATCTTTTCAGTGAAAAGTAATTCCAGCTAAAATAAAGTAATCTACAGTAGTCTACATTTAATTGCGGTAATCATTTTATAACTTATTTCAAGGACTCGTGTACATGTTTATAGTCATTAAGTTAGAAAGGAGTAGTTTCATTTATCTAAGCTTTGTTTCAACATCGTTCAGTCTAATTAAATAAAACACATTCCATTTATACTTGCATTAAATTGTAACAGTGTTTTGACATGGTTACGAGAACTAGCTAAAAAACTAGCTAAATTGACACAATCAGGGAACAATGGTACGGTACGTCAAAGACAACAAACAAGGACAATGTACAATGACCCCCTCACCCCTGAACTGTGTTACTTTGTTGTGAATTTTCGGTGATTTTGAATCCCTATGATGTTTATTACGTGTATAATTATTTCAAGATATGCCGATATAAATACGTCTGTCGCCATTTTAATTTCTATTTATTATTTATTTTTTAATTGAATGTTTTCATGAATATATTATGAATTCATGTCTTTTTTTTTAACAATCTCTTATCAATACTTTTACGTACCCATGACTACCTGTCTTAACGCAAATACAAACAACAGCACTATTCATTGTAGTGCATGTGATTTACAAATTCTCAGCCAGTTGTGAAGCACTGAACCCCTAGACGACCTTTCACCTATGATTAACCCACTCCGATAGGTTGGCCTGGCAACCAGTCAAGCATACCTCAAACAATTATTTAAATTAAATCAGTAAGATTATTAATACAAATACCTAGTTCAAATTCATGTCTTTGTGAAAGTTTACAATGCAAATTATTACATCTCCAGGGAGGGAGGGGGTCCAATTGTCAGCCACCAGCAGTTTGCCATGACCATTATTGTCTAAAATAAAACAGTGGCTAAAACTGGGTCACAACAGCTAGTCATTTGCATACCAGATAGGCAAATGAATTGACACTGCATACAAGCCCCAAACATGTTCTATTGCGATTTGAATTAATTTAGTTTGCCTCCATACATAGTGTTCTATTTAACAATTAAACTCCCTATAAATGTAAAATAATGTAAAGGCATTAATTTGGCTATTTTAATTACATAGTATTCATTAGATTTTAAAATCGTAGATTTTTCCCAAAAAAAAAACAAAAGTTTCATTGTAATTTTTCATATTGACATGGATTTAATTTACTGTAAAATACTTTATTTTCACTTGGAAATAATTTTCGCCATTTTCGCTGAAGGGATGATTCAGTGAAAATAAAATCCAGCGAATACATTTATTTTTTCCTATATTTTACATTAAACTCCATACAAAACACCCACAAATGTTTTTTCAGCAAAAATTAATTCCAGCTATAATAAAAGTCGTAGACTGGACTTATTAGCGAAAATAAAACAAAACCAAGAAAATATATATATAGAAAATAAATATATGTGTTTACAGCATGACAATTTTCACACACACACATGCGAGTTGCGCTAATGAGTTACATACATGTACAAAATTGAAAAAAAAAATTAAAAGTTTGATTTTCCTAGTTTTTAAAATGTACTAAACAATAATGAAAACTGGCTTGATTTCACTGTTAACCGCTCTAGCTGAGAACTGCTACTGAAACCGTCAGTCGCTATTTCAAAACCAATTCTATTCACACAACTAATGCTCTGTTTGTTTTCATTCAACAAAAGTGTTTTAAAAATAAACATGCCCTCCCTGTTTTTTTTCCAAAACAGATAGCATTAGTGGTTGTCTGCTACACTGTGCCTTGATATAAATTCTAATTATAATGACATTTTTTTTACATGGCCCTACTATTTCTACAGATAGTATGTAGAATTTAATATGCTTAACACTTTTGTGAAAGAAGTAGGTGGTTCAGACGTCTTAAAATTAGATTGAGATATTTTGTTCTAAAATTCTAACTATCAACAATGGCCATTTCAAATTATTTACCTTTTTTTGGGTGTAAAACAGTAAATTTAAATGAAAATAATTTAGGCCCTTTGTCTGAAATAATTGAACAAAACTAGGACATTTTGAAAAAAAATATCGGCAAATTTGCAAACATCCGATGAGCATTTGATTCACAGCTGAAGTATAGAAGAAACAATTTTCAAGAAACGTTTTAATTTTGTCCAGGGAAATTCTAGCAGTGGAGATTTCACTGGATTCATAAGCTTTTGAATGCCAGTCAATATTTGTCATCTTTCACAAAATAGACTCGCATTAATAATTTATTTCTATGTCTTTTTTCAAAATTGTTGATTTAGACCGGTAGAAAACAGAAAATTATGTTTATTTATTCAAAATTATTTATTCAAGTTAATAACTTAAATTTAAGCATAGTACACTAAGCGCTGAGACGAACACTGTAGTTGGTTCACAAGCTATAATATTCAAATCTACATATGAGCAAGCATAAAGTAATTGTAAGATACATATACGACGACAACGATGACGACGAGGAGTGCAGACATTACTGATGACAATAACCATTCTAGTAGCTTTGTTAGTTTTATTGAGTATCCCTGTCCAACCAATTATTTCAGCAAAACAATATAATTTTCCAAAAATAGTCAATTTAGAGTTTACGACAACAAAACTTGTATGCTACATAGAGAAAAATCGGCCATTAACATTCCAATTTAAGATAAACTTTTCTCCCAATCCAATGGTTGAATTTACGATTAATTTTTGCGATATACATTTTTTAACCGCATCTTTGAAACAAAACAAGTGGTTTTTATGTTAATGAAGGATATTGTTCCAAAATAATCTAACTACCATGGTTATATTGTCATGCAAATATCAAGCTAAATGTTAGCACAAAGCAATGGACGTTACATAAAGTAAATACCACGGCAACAGATGCTCACAATTTTATTTATATCTTCAGAATGATCACACCAATCCAAAATATTACAAAGAGACGGAGATAACAATGTACAAATAATATGTGAATATTCAATCATATACATTGGAGTGAAATTTCATCAAATTTCCTACTACATAACAGGTGAACGTGTTGTATTCAATATGGTTTCCACATAACACATGCCATTGTATGTAAAATTATATAGATGGAATTCAAACACACGCTATGCACTTATTACCGCCCTTTTAAAAGGGCTCATAGACAGGCCGATAGTTGACTTGTTACAATACTGTCGCATTGAAGAACCGCATTTTCTTTTTTATTTAACCGATGTGCAACGGGTTAAAATTTTATTTTCTAAATCTACCCAGAAAACATTTTGCTAAAAAAGACGCACAACTTCAGGCATAGATGGTTTAAAGCATTTTTAGCATTGTTAGCATTGAAGGAGGAGGGGCTTTTTCATCAGAGGAAAAAACGTTTTTTTTTTTTATCTGATGTTTCTCTCACAGTGTTTTCCATAAAACGAGGTCTTATTAAGCTCCACTTCACTTCTTATATTTGTCAAATAAATAAAGATTTGAATTATTTTACAGAGAAGTTATGTACCAAATTTTAAAATTGAATACTGTACTTTGTAATTTATCTATTAAGAGCGCATCTCATAAAAAGCACATATAAACCATAAATTGAACTTGTTGTTATGCAGGATTATTAAATAGAACTTATTCTGAGCATAGAAAAAAATGCAAGTGTGTGTGATTGATTACTAATACCAGCTCCAATTACATAATGAGCTGGCGCCCCATCACCTGAGCTTTTGGGAATAAATCATACGATATCTCCACGTCACAGAGGCAGTGAAAGTAGAGATATTTGTCTGAAATCGCTATTGTAAACTTATAATCAATGCCTGATAATAATCAATAATTAGGTAATAAACATAAAAAGTGAATTTTCATCAATAATACATTTTTAGACAGCTTGAAATATTTTCTGACAGTTTGAATCCTGTAGTAATGATTTATGCAATTACTACTTGTGTTTATATTCATAAAGTGTACCATTTGTTCGAGACAGGAACGTCAACATTTGAGATGGGGCACTATGTTTTTATTGCAAGATTTCGTAACATAACCGTAGTTTGTTGCTATGTACTGTATACTAGTAAATTTACTCTGATATCATTTTTTTTCATTTTGATTTCATCTGCAAAGACAAAATTTCGCCAAATTTCAAACCCAAATTTTTTTTTTTTTTTTTTTTTACAATGTTTCTGAAAATGAACCCTAATTTTGGAGCCAACAGACAAAATTTTAGCCAATTTTCAGGGGTTACTCAAAAAATTTGTTGGGAATGTTTTGTGATTTTGCGATGAAATAAGGGAACTGGTGGTGAAAAGGTTAACAAACACCCCAAACAAAAGACACATAAACTCGAAACTCATCCACACAGAATAGAAAGGAGCATGGCAAATTACACCAGTATTATTTGGTTTCTGCAAAAAAACATGTAAAAAATCAAGAAAAAATGGCTAAAATGGTCTCAAGACCTGAACCATTTTTTTTTAACCCTATCTTCCACAACTGATTTATTCATATCTCCATAGCAACCATCACTAAGATGTCAAGCATAAACGAGTAGAACCTGGCTCCTGAAATTATTTCTGCCAAAAAATCCCTTAGTTCATCAATGGTATGTGAATGGAGAATAAAGTAGAATATTACATCTTTTCAGGAAAAATAATTGTTTTATGACATTAGTCGTGTTGACATTACTTCACACATTACTGAGAAGAACAAACAAAAAAACAATAGTTCACATTGGACAATTCTCCAGAAACTGGTGAATATTCATAATGGCAGTTTTTTTAAACAAAATACAGAAGTGATTTGCTGATGTTGAAGTATGACCTGTTGGCTTTTTGATACACAACTTTTGAAAGGTACACTTTTCATGGTTGTAAACAGGTCATTGTCAAAATGCAGCTTACCTGTTTACACCCCATTCATAGTAGTCAATATTAACAATAGATACTCTAATGCCTAAATTGATTATTTGACAGTCAAATTAGGAACATTTCACAAAGGATGGATGTCAACCTTGGTCTCAATAATAAAAATCCCCGAGAAACTGATGGGGTGGGGGTGGGGGTGTGGGGGCTGCTTATTCAAGCAAAATCCATATTAAAATGGGTGAAGTATATCATAAAAATACAAATCAAAATGTATACCCATGGGTGTTATTAGTAAGACTGCTTGAGGTTTGTCCTTTTTTTAAGTGTTTATACTACTTTTTAACATTTTTCATAACAGAAGGTAAAATATAGACCAGATTTTTAAAAAAAATATGAAATTGTGATATATATATTCTGAATTATTATAGCGAGATTGCCAGTGTCAATTTCCACCCTGGCTGATTTAAGTGTGCCAGATTTAGATGTCAGTATTTCATAAATTCGCCTATTCAATATTACATGGTATTTCTGAGATAGTGCAACTTGGTTATGATTCAGCCAAACACAGAGGAAGGATGTTAAGTAACTTTATTTTCTAAAAAAATTTCTACTTTGAATACAAGCCTACCTGGATATAACGCAAAGCACTTCTTAAAATACATAAATTAGAAGTTTTCTTGTCTTCCATATTTGGGATGTGTTTTTTCAAGACATCAAAGCACTCTTTTAAATGAGCTCGCCTACAAATAAAGAAGAAAAAAAAAACACGGTTTACATCTGGAATTATACCATTCACTTCACATTGCACAGCGAAATTATTCCTATTTTTAACACTTGTAAAAGTGAGCACATTTATCAGACTTGTTATGATCACGCACTCAAACAAATCACCATCCTTTTTTTCAAATACATTTGTAAAAAGTCTCCAGTTAAAGCAAGGGAGTTGTCACCTGAGCATGCATCAGGTGGCCATAGCATGTCATTTTTTACAAACAAGCGTCTATCCATGAGCCATTGCGTTTTTAGCATGTATTGTTATCCTCACTTAGGACTCATCTCCCATGCCTGCGCAGGTGACGACCCTCCCACTTTATTAATAGCAGGACAATTTACTTCTGGATTAAATTAAAATTACAAAGGAAAACAAAATAGATAAATAGTCTGAACACCATGACTCCCGGGTTTGCACCGGGAATGACAGCTTTCCCTTTAAAGGCCCATGTTGTCTAGACACTTTTGATATATGTATTGTTCTCCATTGAATTCTAAACAACATTTTTTTCAAAGGACCTTCTTGCACTGGAAGACTGTGTTTAATATCTAATCTGAGAAACTGACATGGGCCTTTAACAATGCAATGTTTATTGTATCAGATAATTCTATTTTTAGGACAACTTATTTCGAGTCACTTTACCTATTTTTCTCGAGTTTATTGTGAACTTCTCGCGTCCCAGCTCTGAAAAAATCAAAATAAAAATGACAAAACGATCGTGAAAATCTAGCAATGGTGGTTCTTGGGGGTGAAAAAGTTACGACCTCGCCAAGAAACAACCGATCCACTGAACACGGATGTGACCGAGTCAGGCACGGGGAAGTCACAAGACAGTAACTTCAGCTTTCAAAGCGGGTCACACAACACGGACAAAGGGCGTAAAACAACGGGCGGAATAACCCAAAGCGAGCTGAACATAATTCATCTTCCAGGGCACCAAATCACTCACCCGCCGGATCGCCGTTTTTCCCGGGCATCGTCGTCGATGAACAGTTCGATCACCGGTACTGTTGTTGACTGGGCGATATCATGATGTAAACTGCGGGGTAGTGGACTTGACAATTCCACGAGCTTGGGGACAAGTTGCCTTTCCCCGTCATCTGCAACGCAAAGAAGGCGATATGTAAACGATCGAGCGAACAATGCTAGCTCCGGTTGGTCAATGGCCCCTAATTCTGTATGCAAACCCGCGTCGACACGTAAGCAAAAAAAAAAACTGAAGGAAATTTTTCGATTACGTGCGAAATTTGTTGCCGGTAGATTGTGACATCGATGAAGGTAGATTTGTACATACGCATACAATATAACAGAGTATATATATACGTGTATAACACCGGTTAGAATATAGATTTAAATAAAAAGTTGGAAATCGAATTTCACAAAAACACCATAACATGTGCGTACTCACCACGTGCTTGGGCGCGCCACTCCAAAAACTCGGCTGCTTCCAACAACGTTTCTATGCTCATATTGGAACGACGAGATCGTCAAAAAACACGCCTGATTTTTCCAGTGGTTACCATTGATTATCGTCTTTGCAGTTATACAGACAAAGTGCACAAATCCGGGAATAAATCGCCGATTTGTCAGCAAGATGGCGCAAGTTTCATCGTGCTACCCGTTAGTCCAAACATAACATATCCAGTTAAAAGCTTCAAGCGTCCGCCAACCCCCGTGAACGCGTACTTTTATGGGGGTGGGCAGCTCACCCAGTGAGATGAGCACATGTCTTGTAAGCGTGTAAATGACATTAAATTTCAATATTATGCTTCTATCATAATTAATTATAAAAGTGTATAAAAAAATAAGAAAGAATACTTTGTGTGTGTTTTTACCTGAGTCATCGGAATACACACACCCCTACAATGGTCGCAACCAACGTTAACCAATGACGTCATGTCTTGATTTTATGCAACTGTAAACAACTCATAACCACGTGACCTTATTAGTAAGGCACATGGGCCGATCTGTCAGCGTGAAAGCGAGGAATCTGACAGCTAGGGAAGCGATGAACCAATCACAGATAGGATAAACATCATTTAAATAAAGAGCACATGGTAATCACATGTGCCACTGAAACAAAGTAACCAAGGTTACAGTTTTGACAGCTAAATCGAATATTCTAATAATATTATTTTTGTTTCATCATGGCTGCCTTTTTTGCTAATGAAAAAGAGAGACAGCGTAGTTTACAATGTTTTATTGTATTTATTTACTCGGCCCTACGTGATAGAAATTTCTGTCATCATATAAACCCCCCACGGTCACGTGGTTTTCAACAAGGTGGACGTCCGATGATGTGATGGAAGGTATTAGTTTGATCACGATTACTAAAAACGTAACCGTGAACTGCGGTTCTATATTAATTGTTACTTTTTAAATTACCCACATTTTTATTAAAAGAATTTAAACTATGTACTTGTGGTATCAGATGATTTTTTTCTGCTTTTCGAATTTATCGCATTTCATGAGAAAATATATTTCCTCTTTCCCTGGTTCTGGACACAGGCGCTCGGAACGTTTCTTGGATAATAAAAAATGACCCAAAGTAGGGTCGGCATAGTTAATCAGTCGCCAGTACATTCGCCTACGACTCATATTATATTATTATATTTTTTACTAGTAGCTTCGCGGTGAGTGGCTTTCGCGGTAAGTGGGTTTCGTATTTGTAAGGTTTCGCGGGGAGTAGGGCCTTGTCTCAGTAACTGGTCCTCTCATCCTTGTTGAGAATTAAAGTTTTATGATTCTCTAACAACTGACACTATTCTGGGAATACCATCCTAGCAGGAGTTCTAAAATTAGACCCATGCTCTGATAATGTCTCTAATTTCAAAGACCAATAAACATTACCATTGTGATCTTATTGGTGTTGCAAAGGATAGTTGAATATTGTTTATTGAAATTAATAATCCCCATAACCGTTTGCCAATTTGGATAAATTGTAGTACGTAACAAACTGTATAACTCAGTCTCAACAATGAAATAAAGGAATGTATATATTTACATTATTTATACTTATTTATTATACTTTTATTGCTACTTTACTGATAGAAATACTGTATTTCTAAAGACGCAATAAATATTATTATTATTATTGTTATTATTATTATTATTATTATTATTATTATTATTATTATTATTATTATTATTATTATTA